TCTCTAAGGAACCTTTCTTGGAGAGACTTCTGAGACACTTCAGATTCTTCACATTCTCAGGGGCGTCAACAGCTTCTGCGAATACTTTTCCCTAACATGTCAGTGAGATTTCCCACCGCTGTGCCGTTTCAACGCTGCTCCGCTTCTCCGTATGCTCAAGGCCTCTTTCCTATTCCGCTTCTTCCAGAAACGCGCGCTGCCTTTAAGCTGAGGACGCAGGCACCTGCCGGCCCGGCCCAGCCCAGGGCAGCGGGTGGGCATCCCCACCTGGCTCCGTGGCCCCTCTCCTGCAGCGCATGGGGATGGCACCTCCAGGCAGGCCGTGCTTGGAGTTGTAAAGTCGTGGCCAGAGGCAAATGGGGAAAGCTTTAACCGCCAGCTCTAGCATTCGTTTCATGATTATCTAGACTTTCGTATTAACAGATCGCACTGTGGCTCCTTCTCAGCCACCTTCCCATTTTAACAGGACCATCTTCCCCACTTGGGATCAAAGAGCAGGTGACCTTTCCAAGCTGGCTTGAAATCCCCCCTGCAGCCTCTGGTCTCCCAGAGGCCCAGATCTGAGGCTGCAGGGCTCTGACTGCACCAGCGCTGGCGGGAACGGCCAGAGGCCCTGTCTCTCCTTGAGTGGTCGCACCCACAGCAGTGGGGAGCTCTTCCGGCTGCTGCATCTCAGGGTGCCTTCAGGTGGCCCCGCCCCACCTCCTCTGCGCCTGGCACACCCGATCTCACCCTTCACCAGCACTTCCCCGTGTTCCCGGCCTCCGGCCAGGAGCAGCGACTGGCCATTCAGAGCCCACCGAGGGCAGCAAAGGCATCTCCTCCCTTGGCGCATCTGTGTTGATGGCTGCCACTGCCAGCCCGTTGGCAGGACTCAGGGCTAAGAGCGTGGCCAGAAGTGGCGTCTCACCTCGGGCCTCACCAGGGAAAGAGGGGTAAATCAGCACAGGTGGTGTAGCCAGGGCCTGCCCGGCTAACTAAGCTGACCTCTCACTGCTGGAGAACCTTCTAGGTTCCGCAGCCTGGGCCTACCTGTGCCCCTCCCCCCAGGCCCTGCCCCAGCGTGCAGCAAAGCTCAGCACAGACGCACGTGGCGTGGGGACAGAGCCCTGCCTAGGAACTCCAGAGATGGTGCCACTGAGGCTCCTGGTGGGCCCGGGCTTCAGAGTCAGGACGTGGCAGTAACCCCAATGTATTTTGCTAAAGAACCTCCTACCCCCCACCCCCTGCCACCCCTAGCATATTGGACCCCAGAAAGTGCAGGCACTGACCTCAAAGAAGTTATCTGACGCTTCTCAGAGGAGCAGGGGCATCCCCCGGCTCCGCCAGCTGTGCTTTCTCCCTCCTCCTCCAGATGTTCTCCCAGCCAGTTACACCTTCCCTGGCCCCGGGAGCTGCTGGTGCGCCGCGCTGGCCTCTCGCCAGCTCAGCCTGTGCCCAGCGTGCTTCTGCTCTCGCTCCCTGGAAACTGGACAGCACGGCCTCCTGCAGTCCCAAGCCTCCGCTGCTCCTGGGTGTACTCAAGCCCCTCCCGAGCGGAAGGCCGCCCCCCGCAGGGGCAGGTACCCCCGCGCCATTCCCGTGTGTGTCCTTGACCCACAGAGGAGCACGTGGCTGCGGCCAGCGTGGGAGAGTGGCAGAGACACGCGTGATTCGCTCCTCCTCTGGGAGGAGTTCACTCGTTGGGGCTGGAGTATTCTGGAGCCTGATTATAAAGTGTCCTCGCACATAAGACGAGCAGTTCCTGGCAAATGAGACCAGCCATCCCTTGAGCTGCCATGGAGTGTGGGATCTTAGACCTGGAGCTGCTGGCACCGGGGAGACGCCCAGGAGCCGGTGTGGGCGGGTCGTCCTGGGGCAGACGCAGACGGAGCGAGGCCTTCGGTTCTGCTCGGCTGTGCGGCTGTGCGGGGGCAGGCGGGGTCCTTGCTGCGTGGGCGTCTCCTGCGAGTGTGAGGGCCTGTCAGCCGCTTGGCACCTACTGACTAAAGGCTTGCAGTGGGGCTGGAAGAGGGCGAGAGTGAAAAACAAATCAGATGATTTGGGACAAGAGAAATAGCTGATAGGACTTGGGTACAGGCAGCATGTTGGTGTCTTTGGGGTGCAGTTGGCCTTTGGACCTTGGGATGAAGGGGATTGCCCGGGAAGGGGGGTGGGGAGAGAGAGCCCGAGGAGAGGGGCCAGCCCCGGGGAGGGGGGCGGGGCAGAGGGCCTGGGAGCCCGCGGGCGGGAGGTGCCGGGACAGACGGGCCTCTGTTATCCCAGAGTGGCGGCCAGTATCTGAGGCCCACTGTCCACCGTGTAGTCACCGTGCAGACACGTGAAAGCGTCCTCGGTGAGCTCAGCCTTTGGAGGGTCGGTGTCAGCGGAGAGGGTTCCCGTGGGCCGGCTTCAAGCGGGAGCGCCCCCAGCTACGGGAGCCAGGTGTCCACGCCCGCTCTGAGGCGCCACAGCTTCCCGAGCGGCCCCACCCCATGACCAGTGGTCTTGTGGCCTCCCCTGTGGCTACTCTGCCTCCCTCGGAGACGGAGCGAGCACAGCGTTGCTGAAAGGCCAGCGTCTAAGCCAAAAATGACCTGCGGTGGCCCCCGAGACATCGGCCCGAGACCTCGGCCCGTGCGGCAAGGGTGTCCGGGTGGCGGCCAGCCCCCCGCCCCCAGGCTACCTGCTCTCTGCGACAGGCCCCCCACCAGCCCTTTGGGGCCTGGAGATCAGGGTTCGCGGGGACCGAGGTCCCGCACAGCGTGAACTCTGCGCCGCCTTCTTCCGACTGGCTCCTGCTCCCTGCGCTGTCTGTCCTCTGAGCAGGGAAGGAGGTTTCCCAACGACAGCCGAGTCTTAGGGGCCCGGGGGACCCCGCGGGCCTTCTCTTGCTGCGTCCCCACCGGGCAGCCTGGAGGGTGGGTGCCTCGAGTTTGCCCCCTCCGGGGCTGACGGCCCCAGGGGTGCGGGCCTGGCAGCGCATGTGAGGGGTAACTCACGGGGTACTCTGTGTGTGCTGGGGATGTTTCTCGGCGCTTCCAGGCTCCCTTCTCTGGCCTAATAATTAAATTGACACAAGTCAGCTTACAGGGGAAAACAAATTTAATTTCCTGGACAGAAGCCGGTCTGTGTGACACGTTGGAAGGCGGGGAGGGGAAATGAGCCCTCGTGCAGCCTGGCTGAGGCGTGGGGGGGCCTGGCACTTCCAAGGGAGCAGCCACTGCAGAGGAGCTGGCGGGCAGAGGTCATTCCTGGCTGTCGCTCCCTGTGGACAAGGCCCCTGTCTGAATTCTTCTAGGTAGCCAGGACAGAGCCAGAAGTTTCTGTTGACTTCTTCCCGGGTCTGGATGGCCTTCGGCTCAAAACACCCCACTGCCAAAGAGGCCCGTGGGGGAAGATGGTTCTGGACCCCTCTGGCACCGGGAGGAGTTGCTTGCCGCACCAGGGCAGGCTCTCTGAGGTTTCCCTTCAGGTCCTCTGCTCAGCTGTCTCTGCAGACGGCGTGACCCCCACAGCCGCTCTGCACCGAGCCTCAGGCATCCTCCCGCCCTTGAGAGAAACAAGCTCTCGCTAGACACCTGCGAGGTGAGCGGCTCCTGGGGCAGCAGAAGGGCGAAGCGCCCTCCAGGAGCTGTGGTCTGCCTCGCCTCGTCCAGCACCCCTTCTTTTTAAAGCACCTGCAGGGATTTTAAGTGCGCAGGCTGGCAGACGCTGAGCCCGGGACAGCCTGTGGGGAGCAGAGCTGAGCCCTCACGCGCCCCACACCCCGCCAGGGCAGGCGGGCTCAGTCCCGCAGAAACGGCCCCACTTTGCCAAGGCGGGGGAGTCGCCATGGACAGATTTCACGTGCAGCTCCCCGAGCCACGAGCCTGGTTCGTGCTGTCGAGCTTAAGCAGCTCTGAGTTGCTGACCAACAGAGTGGTTAGCTGGGAAACGGCAGGGGAGGTCAGGTCGGAAAGGACAGGCTGTGGCCAGCCGCACGGGCTGTAGATCAAAGCCAGCACCCCTACACCACCCTGGCGGGGACCCCGTGGCTCAGGAGGCGCCCCCTGCTTCCTTCTGCTGGGGAAGCGACATGGCTTCCTGTGGGGATGTGGGAGGGGTGCCCGTAGCAGCCAGTGGCGCGGGCATATGGGGGACACCTCGGCCTCCTGACCTAGTTTAAACACCGTTATTGTGTGTTGATTCTCCAGGTTCTCGGGGTGCAGGGTAACGGTCTGAGAGCACCCGAGCCAGCGCTTTGTTGCAGAGCCTGGGAGAGCTCCTCCCAGCCCCTCTGCCGTCCCAGTCAGGGTCCCTTCTCCCAATGCCGTCACGTGTCCCCTGTGAGCAGGGGACGTCACCATTTTCCTCACGGGGTGTCTCAAGGACAGGTGTTCACATGTGTGACTTCTCTTGACAAACTCTGAGATGCGTCCTCACAAATGCTTGCCCAGACAGTTAGCCCCATGAGGGCTCCAGAAAGAGCTGTCTGCAGGTAAGGAAGCTGAGAATCCTGTGCTCAAAGATGCCGTGTCCTTCAAGCCACTTGAAGGTCATGGGCCACTTTTGCAAATGATATCAGTTCCCCGCGTAGCAAACAGCCGTAGCTGGCGTGGAAGGAGGTGTGCCCCCCCCCACCCCGTCATTCTCAGGCCCCTGTGAGCCCTCAACTCTGAACACCGAAGGTGCTAGCACCAGTTTAAGACAAGACTGTTCTGTGAGCCAAACAGGTGTTTTCCACAAAAGGCGAATCTTTCCCCCTGACGAGGGTCTGTGGTCCCATCTCTCCAAGCTGCCATCTGAAAAGATTGCACGCTCTATTTTTTTCAAAACAGCTAAGTTCTGGTGAAGGAATGATTATGTTCTTGAAATATTTGGATGGGGAGCTTTAATGTGGGTCGTGCATCTGGAAGTCCATCCTCTGGTGGCGTTTAGTTGTATTATCAGACGCCGGGGCGGGGAGGAGGGTTTCCCTCATGTGAAGAGCCATTTTATTAATTGATGTCCATATTTTTTTTTTCTGCCTCTCATTTCAGAACGTTTTGATCACCACTGTCCCTGGGTAGGCAACTGTGTGGGGAAAAGAAACTACAGATTTTTTTATATGTTTATTTTATCTCTGTCTTTCCTGACAGTCTTTATATTTGCACTCGTTATCACCCACGTCATTCTTCGTAAGTATGCTGCTGCCGTCAGGCTGTGCGTTTAGCCATTTGCCTGCCTTTGGTTTTCTGATTTGATTTTATTTGATATTTCGATCATTTCGGGCTTTCTCTTTCTTCTCTTCCCCTTCTCCAGTCCCCCTCGCTCCCTGCCCCTTTGCGTTTCTCAATCATCGCCCTCCACCCCGCCCCCACCCCAAAAGCAGCTCCCCCCTCCTTGACACATTCACCCCTACTGCGGCCTTGTGACTCCACTTCCCCTCTGTCCAGGGCCCCCACTGAGTAGAAGAGGTGAAGGGTAGCGCTGCTAAAGCAGACTGGTCGCCCTGAAAAATAAAATCGCCGAGCAAACACCGGCTCTTCTTGCACACTAATTTAAATATGTTAAAGACACACCTTTGTCAAGATGTCCAGTTATCTGCCAGAACATTCGTAAGCTACAGAGCTTTGGGCTCAATGATTTTAATGCATTTCCCAAGCAAAGGACACTTCTCAGTCTCCCGTCCTGGGGTCATAACTGAATCTCTTTAGTGTCTTGCTCATTTACTCTCCCACAAGTGGGAGGAATGGAAGGAAGTTAATTGGCTTTGAGCTCTATCTAGAAGCCTCTAAAGCCCCTCACAGTCCAGACCAGCAGAGTTCCTGCCACATTCCTGAAGACCACTGCTCTCGGGCTGCACCGCTTGTCCCTCTGGAGCAGTCCAGAGTGTCTGAACACAGCTCGCCTTCTTCCCAGGCAGCAGGGGGAACCACAAGAGCACTGGCTAAGGCCGTCTCAGAGACCCCAACTCTGCCCCCTCCCCTCTGGCTGGGGTCTGTGTTGGGTGGGGGCGTGGAGGGGTGAATGGCCTGGAAAGTTCCACCTCAGTCTTTTTAAATACTGGTCTACTGTGGACATTAAATGGGCTAGCCTGAATTTGCATGGGCATTTTCTATCCCAGCTCCCAGTCCTTCAGCCGGAAATCCTTTCATCTGACAGTGACACAAATAGATGTGTGATAGGCTGCGGGGGAGGGCCGGCTCCGTGGAGACCCGACCCTCCACTTGGGAAGGAGGCCAGCGTGGCTCTATGGAGGCCCAGTTTCCATTTCAGAGGAGAAAAATGGCAGATACCCACGGTCCTCCTATCTGTGTGCTGAACAGAAGGGTCAGCGAGAAGAAGCAAGCACCCCACAGGTAGAGGAGGTAACGGCACTGCTAGGCCAGGTACCCGGACGCTGGGCACAGTGCCACACGGACACTAAGGCCGTGCACCGCTGCCTTCACAGGCGTGTGTCTTCTGTGCATACACACATGTGACCACGCTGCGTGTTGGTCTGCCTCCATCTGGACACGGAGGCCCAGTGCTGACTCGCCCAAAGGCCAGCATCGATCCTGGGATACAGGAACACACACACAGAAACACAGTCACACACACAGACACACACATGGACATACACACACAGATAGACACGCAGACACACAAAGACACATGGACACATAGACATACAACAGCACACATAAGAGATGCACACAGGCACACAGGTACACACAGACACAGACATACACA